CTCAACCTTTTTAGAGTAATTGCTCTGTACCTAACGATTTATATGAACAATTTTTATACCTCAATGTCTGCGTGTCATCATGACAACCTTTCATGCCTTCGACACTGACCATAATTCTTTTCGTACGTCATTTTAACCTAGGCCAACACAAATTTCAATGAAAACAAACCATGACAGAAGTATCATCAAAACTATATAATAGTTGCCGTCGTGTATTCATTTATATCTTTTGTGTCACACTGTGTAATTATATTAACAAGTCGCAAGGTCAATCATTTCCTTATGTTAGTGTATGTTTAACAACTCCAGTGTTTACTCATGGACGCTACGTAGCACTTAGCTAAACAAAAAATAAAAACAACCTTTAGAGAAGCATCGAAAATAAAGGCAATCTTCAAAACAAAGCCTTCACAAGAAACGTAATGATAAATGAATTACCTAAACAGTTTATCAGTAGCTTCTCTTTAAGTTGTGAGTTCTGAAATGACTTCTGAGATCAGCAACGCATGGATTGAGTCTCTTTTGTTTCCTATTTTAGCAGTTTGATATCAACCAAAGAACTATTTTAAGAAAAGAAGTTCGTAGAAAAGACTTAGTAACAAGGGAACTAATTGTGTAAACATTTCAGTGACTTCTGCATAATTTATGAATTCTGAACCTTCGTTATGTAATATAACGAAATTCATATAACTGTTATGCTTCCTATGTAAGACATGTATTGTAAAATAAAAAAAAACCTTCAAGAAACGTAGTAAATAAATTAATTAAACGGTCCATTGGTCTCTATTTTATCTCTGTCTAAATTTCTGGGATGCGAAGATACTATTTACATCATTTATATTCAGACTATTTTCCTCATCTTTGTTGTTGTAATCACAACGTTTCGGCCGTCGTACTCTCTGGCCTTCCTCAATAGTATATAGATGTGAGTAACCTACAAGGAATTCTGAACTGTACCCTTTATTTAATCTACGATACAATGGCCAAATTGATTAAAGCGCTTGTTCGGAAATTGGTTGGGCAGTGTGTACTTAGACTCTGTGGAAACGACCAAGCAATAACCTGAGCAATACTAAGAGTAAGAACTAGACGATATCCCCAGACATATTCAGTGGATCGTGAACAGTCTACTCTCGTAGATTCAATAAAGAAGGTTAGTCAGATCAATATACACCTGAGGAAGGCCGGATAATACAAAGACCGAACCGTTGTGATAATAACAACAAAGGTGAGATCAATAGCCCGAATATAAATAGTGTCTCTATTTTAGTTGTAAATTCCGGGTCTCTGTTTTATTGAATCTCAATATATTGTTTCAAAACAGTTGTTTCATTGCATCACAATATTAATACTTTCAAACAACTTCCGTCATTTTTTTACGGCACGGGTGCACTAGTATTCATATAATTCTTGTCGACATTGAAATTTATATATCATGAGTCGTACAGAACTAGAGTAGAAAATATGTTCAAGAACTCTGCGTAAGTTTTCCAAATTTAAGATATTTAAGGGGTTTTTTATGCTTTCATTTATTATTTTTATTAAATATTTCCTTTTTTTTTATATTCAAAACATTGTTTGGTGATTAACCTCAACTGCGAGACGGAATTGATGATAGAAAGCTATCGTTGAGAAACAAAAATTGAAAATATTTGTAATGGTGAAAATACTTAATTTCATAATACGACTTTCACGACTAGGCATTCAACGAGTTCTTCTACGTGCCGCGACCTTTGTGGACATAAGCGACCATGGCTCTCCACAACTTCCTATCTCGTGTTCAACCCGTTCCGCCATCCATTCACAGAAGCGCGTAAGGTAGTTGGCTTTCTGCCTTCCCCTATCTCTCTTGCCGTCACTATGTGAAGGTTAATTTTTCCAAGCCCTCTTTCCTCATTATGTGTCCAGGGAATTTCAGCTGTCTCTTCCTGATTCTGAGTATAAGTGTTCTTTTTATTGCCATTTTCTTTAAGACTTCCTTGTTGCTTACCCACTCTGTCCATGGAATTTTCAGTATCATTCTGTAGGACCACATTTCTGCTATCTCTAGTTTTTTTTTCCTTATCCTTGGAGAGATCGTATAACGTTCACTGCCATATAAGAGAATGAATATCACATAACAATCCAGCACTCTTCACAGGGCAGAAGGAAAAATATGTGATACAGTTTTGGGCGATCATGTCTCTTTTGGTTTATGACTAACTAGGCAGAAGATTTTCTCGCAGTAGGTTGCCATTTCTTTATGTGGTTAACTGGTTACCAACCAGTCTGTATTGCAGGGGAGGGGGGGAGTAGAAATAGATTCATACTTTTTCTAAGGGTGCGTAAGTGAATAGTGAATGTAACAAACTCGACTGGAATTCGAACTCCGATTTCTCATTCTGAGCCGATATCCATTACACCACAACGTTATCCATAAAAGTGAAGCATACAGCAAGTTAAATTCCATTTTGAGTGTCGCAGCTACTTTATTCTGAATTTCCAATTGTTAACGATTGAAAAATGAGTTGTTGTTTTTTAATGATCAGAATAAGCTCTAGAATCGATTAAATCGATTCGAAATATTTGTAATAGTGAAAATATTTCATCTCCGCATCTGAAAAGCAATTTCAAACTTTTACGTTTCTTTTTTTTTTTTAACCTGAATCAATTATCTTTAATTTCTGTGGGGTATAAAGAGGGTCACAACCATATTGATACTGGATGGAGGTGGCACAAGGCCGGTTTTTATGTGGGGTTATTCCGAGTCCATAGGCTCGGGTAAAAATCCCCCTCGGAACCCACACACACGGGGTCGGGTTTGTCTACCTCCACGAAGTCTGTCGCGAGCCTGGCAGCGAACTGCCTGACTGCGATTTGACTATTGCCACAACCACATTGACACTGTTACGGTTCCAATAGCAAGCAGGTGTTCTTTCCGGTGGTGAAGTTGCTAGTCTCACGCCCAATGCTTTAGTTTTGAATTGTCCTCTTTCTTGACTGGTTACCAACCAAGGCTACAGACAGTAACTGGAAATGGTTAGGCGCACTAATGTCCTTTACCAGGAAGATTTATGCGAAATAAGCACAAATTGTCTCGGATAGAAATTGAACTTGGCTCGCAAATTCCATTTCTCGTGCTATTAACCGTTAACTACCTGAATGTCAGTATCTAACCAATATTTATCAAGTTATCCGACAGTAGAATCATAGTTAAATTAGTTTCCTCTACTTTAGTCTAACGATTCTTTTAAAAGCTCAGATCACAAATGTAATGTTCAAATTAAAATTTGGACAAAGTAAACATAATGTAGAATGTTCAAAATTATAAAATTATTTTCTTCTATTTTATGGAAATGAATTGCGTTATAAAAATAAATGAATAAAATTTGGAAAACACGTTTTGCAGTCTGAATTCTTTTAATTTTAAAAATTTGAGCAATCACTTTAAAAATATTTTAATCACACTGAAGTTTGTACTCAAAATAGCTGGTGATTAATTTTTTGATACATAACATAACGGATAAATGAATCTATTGGCTGAGAAGTAGTTATTCCATTTTTCTGTCAAAAAATAATTATGCTAATTTAAATTTATTTACATAAATAAAAACAAACTTGGTCCGTTGTTGTGTATTCTGTTCACCGTTTCTTATTGACCTGCTTCTGAAAAGAATTGACCTGATTATGAAGACGATTACTTTACTGCGCAGCTCTACCCTGTCAATTCCAAGGTATAAAAAGTATTTGTGTTCCATAGAATAACAAATATTAAAGTTTTCGGCTCTTGTTTTGAAATATGTTAACTTTTATGTAGCGTTGGAATCATATTTTTAAATAAATTATATATATATATATATATATATATATATATATATAGTGCCTGATTTACATAAGGGCTGGTATGGGCTGCAGAATCCCCAAGATTAGAGGGGGCCTCAAGGTCCCTCTAGTCTTGAGCCTCTGAAAAAACTAAAAGAAAATAAACTTCTAAAAACAAGTGAGATTTGTTTATTTTCTGATTTAATGGAGCCGATTCGGACAAATTTGAAACAATTTAGAGCATTTAGACCCCTCTAGTTGGAATGGGTACTTTAAATTCGATCAGGTCATTTGAAGGTGCCCTATTTAGAATTTGATTCATCTTTTTTATATACATGTAGATTTTTATGTACTTTTTTAATAATTTTGCATAATTTTGTCTAGTTTGTACAATTTCTGCATTATTTTATACTTCATTAAACACAACATGTAATAAGGGTAAAATTGTTCATATTGTACAAATTAACCAAAATAGTGCAAAACTAGATATAATACAAAATTAAAAAGAAAAAAAAAATTATGCAATTTTGGAAAAATATTATCTAACATATTAACATTTTGTAATGTTTATGAATTTTGACGAAAAATTTGGTTGAGTTCCAAAATCATAAAAAATTTAATTAAGCATAATCGAAAAAAATTATCTTTTTTTATATATTTGGAAGAACAAGCGTAATGAAAGAGCCCCACAAATTCATTTAACCCAGGGACTCTTTAAGGCCTAGTCCTTCTTCTAAAGAGGCTGCCATCCAAAGTTAAAAAAAAAATCTGTTTATCCTACTATAACATATAACAGAGGCGACGAGGCTTGCAGTATTTTATATAATTTATTGAAAACAAAATTATAAAGGGAAATAACTTTTCTTTTTTTACATTATTGCTTGGCAATGAGATTAACTTCCCATAGACCGATTCACATAGTCTTTCTTTAATTAATATCATGAATTCTGATCAATACTCACCCGAGCTGTTGTCTTCAGTATTCACATTTGTTAATATACTATTAATTTTAATCACATATGTACAAATATGACAATATTGTGATCTTCAAAGCAACTTGAGGAACGGAACTATGCAATGAATATCAACATGTATATGTTATTCTAGTGAAAATAAAGTCCTTAGTTTCCTTCCACTTCTTTCTCTAACTACCTCTGTTGCATTTACTTCAAACTATATAAATCCCTTTAACCCTTAAGATGCTAATCAGCTTCCACAGATTTTACAAGCACAAAAATATCTATCTAAAAAGAGATTGTTCTTTATCTCTTAGATAATTTATAATAAATATCTAGCATCTATTATCTTGGACTGCATGAAAATCCATTAATGTCTACCGTAAAATCTGGTATTAATTATAAGAAATAAAAATCTGGTATTAATTATAGGTTTCTAAAACAAATCCTACTTATAATACCTACTTATAGGTTTATAAAAATCTGGTATTAATTATAGGTTTCTAAAACAAATCCTACATATAATACCTACTTATAGGTTTATAAAAATCTGGTATTAATTATAGGTTTCTATCTATAAGCCATTAATGTGTACCGCTAAAAAAAATAAAGATAGTAGGCATTAATGGGTTAAATCATTCTTTTTCTCTCCCCCCGCCCCGCATTATTTATAATTAGAAAAAAATTATATAAAATTTATATTTGGGATTTGAGATAAAATAGATGTTTGGGATTAAAATCATTGTTTGAATTGCAGAAGAGTTTTTACTTGAATATAAATTTGGTATTTATCTAGAAGGTTTAAGAGTTTTAAAATTATTAGTGATTCAGCATGAACTCATTGTTTTGTTTGTTTATTTATTTATATGTCCCTTAATTTATACTGTTATATAAGGCTGTTAAATTTGGTAAATATAAAAAAAAGAATTTCTTTATCTATGTTTTATGTAAAACTTTAGTTAATTCATATATATATATATATATATATATATATATATATATATATATATATATATATATATATATATATAAACATTACGCCTCGAGCAAGGCAGGGAAGCCACTAGGATGCAAGGGGTTGCAGAAGATTTGGAGCGAGAGCAGATAGGAGTGATAGAAGAAAGGATGAGGAGAAAGATAGTGGAGAGATCAAGGTAATTGAAGATGTCGATTGACATTACGATTGAATAGTTGGAGGTTATAGCTCTCAGGGAAACAGTAATAGGGAAGGGTGTTCCACAGGCGAGAGGTGCGAGATATGAAGCTATTGGAGTACAAGAGACAGCTACATTTAAAAGTTTCTACAGTGAAAGGGTGAGAGCGGGATGCCAGCCTCGTAGGGCGCTTGAATTCATGAAGTCTGGGAACCAGTGAAAGCAGCTCATCGAAGCAATTACCATGAAAGTATTTGTAAAAAAGACAGAGAGAGGCGACGGCGCGTCTGTGAGAGAGCAACTGTAGACGAAGTGCCAGATCAGGGCCAATTATATTACATATCCGCCTCTGGATCTTGTCAAGAACTCCGAGGTAAACAGAAGGTGCACCAGACCATATATGGCAGCAATGTAAGGGCGAATGGTTGATTTATATATATATATATATATATATATATATATATATATATATATATATATACTCTTTACAATTGGAATTAAGACACCTTTAGTTAATGACCATTTTCACTTACGAATTTTAATTTTAAAATTCAGGATTTCTCAAACTGTTTACGGTATCAGTTTGTAGTGAGATACTGGCTAGTTTGGGATAAAAAGAGAGGGGGCGTTAAAAGGGACATATTGAGAGACATGGCAGAAGAAGAAATGAATTATATTATAGAGGTAGAAGAGCCTAGGTAGGGAGAAAGAAGGGGAAACCGATGAGCTGGCCTACATGCTAATGATCACCCGGCCAAAGTTTGATTCAACGGAAATCCATGGAAATTAACGAAACTGTGAAAGAACACTCAAGAGGTAACTTTGGTAAGATGAAAGAGAGATAATTCAGGATTATTGGTGTATCAAACTAATTATTACCATCAGGAATTCTAATCAATACATATATATATGAATAAAGACAGAAGGAAACCTTATCTTAGCAGACACGTTCCGTCCTGTGAGGGACTTTATCAAAGCAAATGCGAGTATTTTATTTTGTAAGAAGTATTTATATAGAGGAAAAATGTTATGGTTTTTTCAAAATGTTTAAGTTGAGGAACAATCATAAATATTCATCAGCTTAGCTGAAAAATCAAGCAATGTATGGAGGACACATTTTTGCTCTTGTACATAAATAGTTGTTACAAAATAAAATCTTTGCATTTGCCTTGATAAAGTCCGTCAGAGGACGAAACGTGTTGGCTAAGATAAGTTTTTCTTTTGTCTTTATTCATATTGTCCTTTTACAAATATACTCTATCTGAAATTTTTACACACACACACACACATATATATATATATATATATATATATATATATACACATATTAAAGACATTTTATTTATTAAAGACATTGAATGTCCGAGAAATTTTTCATACTTGTATCTATAAAAAAGAACGTTAAACATAAACATGTCTTTAATAAATAAATTGTCCATTTCTTAATATATGACGTCATTTGTTTACATTTGATACGCCATGAGCAATTATGAATGTACGAGATTCATGGAAGATTGAAGTTTATAAGCAGTAAATTCGACCTTGCTAACCGAACGATCCTTTGTGGCCGAGAGGTTAGGCACGTCAGCGTAAATGACAGTTCCGTATAGGATACAGGTTCGAATCCTGTCAAAGGACGAATATTTTCTATGAAAAATTTCTCGGACATTCAGGCCGGTAAATGTTATTTAATACTGTTTATTATAAACAGAGCATTTACTTAAATACTTGTATCTATAAAAAAGAACGTTAAACATAAAAATGTCTTTATTGTCGGACTTTGTCCATTTCTTAATATATATATATATAATTAATTCATCTATATATATATATATATATAGTCATGTTTCATTGAATAATTAGAGAAGGTTTGTCTACTTATTTTCAGTACGGACAAGTTCCTTATTAAAGGAAGAGAGAAAATTACCATGTTGATATATATTCATTTATTCCGAAGACTTTCGACATTAGCACAATGTAGTCCTCGAGGTGTTATTTTTTCTAAGACAAAAATTTTTTTGTCCATCATTTTTTTTAAGACAAAATTGTTGTGTCCATCTGAAAGTTATTTTTTTTTTACTTGTGAAGTAAAAAACGCTGTACAAGTTAAATTTAACGATGTGATCGTCAGGGGAGGTAACTAATTTATGATAAGTCCAAATGTATTTTTTTTTAAATATTCCAAACTATTAGTTGAAACCTAGATATTTTAAACTAATCTTTGTACACATTTTAAAATGTTTGTGCAGTATTCATAATTATTTTTTGAAGCAGTTTGTCCGTGGATATGAAAGGATCCTATTGAAAATAAGTAGACAAAACTTGTCTAAATTATCCAATGATAGATATGTCTTAATGAAAACATATATGTATGTATCAAATATTTAGATATATAATACAGTACATTAAAAGGTAGTAAATAAATTCTGATATTGAAAAGATTAGAAAATTGTAATTTTCTTCACAATTAAAGAACTAACATTTGGAAACAAAAAACTGTGACAATATTATCATTCGGTTGTAAATCACCTAGATTAATTAATTAATTTATATTGCACTTGTTCAGTTGGCACATTATGTGGATCCTTAATACAATTTTCATGGCTACAATGCAACGTTTCGGAGTATTGTTGAATATTACCTTCGATTTCTTTGCCGTGTCAAACGTATAAAAGGACAACACTGGTGAAAAGTGAATAGAGTTAGCTCCCATGTTTTAGTAATGGAAAAGAAAATTATAATTATTTTCGTTTTAGAGAATACAAATTATAGTAACTTTAAATTTAAAAATAATTTGAGATCAACGCTTTCAACACTATCCGTTAATTCCAATTAATTAGAATTAAATAGAAAATGTTTTAATTTGTTAATGCAAATCATCATAATTTCTTTTTGTAGTACTAAGATTTATACTGCTAAAAAATAGGGTAACCCAATTTGTATTTTTTCTGTTTATATCGTTAGATAGCATTATCAGTGTTTAATTTGAACGAAAATTATTTTAAAAATATCGCTTTTGATGTAAATGTAACATTTTTCATCTCAATGTGTTTTTGTTTTTTAATTTTGACAATATTAACCAATTTTTGTTTATTGATTTTCGAGGAAAATAAACGACACTTTCAACATATTATGTACTTTCATTTTAATAAACGTAAGAAAAAAGATATGTGTAGTTTGTAGAAAAGTTACTGTGTAGGATCTAACGCATGAAAAGAGGTTTGTGAAGTTTCCCACTGAAGATTTTTGTTGAACTATAATCCACAGTCGAATAGATCAGTTGATGTTGGTAGTGATTAAATGAAGACATTACTTGAGAATGACCAACATTATATGACACAGTAGATATTTCTTTGTCTTGTTTATCAAAATGTAACCCTGAAAAAATCATTTTTCACCAGCGTGATAATATTACTCACTTTGATGTAGCGTTTCCATATAAGTTAATGGACAGTATTTTCGGGTTAATTTTTTATAAATAAATTAGGATGAGCGATAAATATTGGATACTTTACAACAATGTGAAGCAACAGAGATTTAAGGGCAAGAGAAACAAACTACCACTGACCGTCCTCAAACCAATCTTCATCCAATAGTGATGGTGTGCATTTCGTCGAATTGGATGGAAATCTTTTACTAGCAGTTTCTTCTGGAAATTATTAATTTCAATTAGAACAATTATTTAATAAAGTTAATATCGGAAAAATATTTCATTTTTACTTACTGAACTGGTTGGATATTTGGTATTTCCCCAAAACTGTTCTTCAGATTACCAACGAAGATGAACTGCATCCATTAATTTCGAGATTTTTATTTTCTTCCTGTTATCGAAAATGTTTAATTGGCGTTTAATCACAGAATGAGGCTAAAATAAGGTGGGAAGAAGCGTCTCAATTTTTATAAATATTTAAAAATTCAAAGGTGTCGTAAATTTTCACGAAATTTGTTTCCTAGTCTACAACTTCTCACTGAAATAGGAACATCGAAAGAATATCTTAAATACAAACTCTCTTGCACACGACAATAATAAAGACAAAGAGAAAAGGCGTAATTATTGAGAAATGTGAAGTTTAAAGATGACGTATTTTTCCAGGATTTACTCTCCACAAATACATAATTTATTTTTGCAACAAAAACGTGCGTATTAAAAAATGTAATCAGGA